ATCCACTGGGCTAACAGCGCTAGGTTTTGTTTTCCAGGATCAAGCATACCCAAACCACCCTCCTTTCTGCCATGGCAGATTGTATCCCAGGCGACCTTGGAAATGAGCCCACCGTCCAATTGTCCGAAAGGCTTCCATAGGAATCTCGCTGCAGCGTTCCTCACTGATTTGAGGAGTTGCTTGCTGAGCATTTTCACTCTCCCTACAAACCATAGGAGCGAAAATAAAGCAACGTTTAATACCATGGCTCTTCCAAACAGTGACAAGTGCGGGGCTGTTCCCCATCTGGAAACACGCTGGATAATTTTCTGTTGGAGTATTTCATTTTGAGTACCATTGCAGTTATCCAAGGCGACTTGTACTCCCAAATACCTCTCTGACGCGCCCTCTGTGATTCTTTTCATGCCGAATTCTACCGCCGGAGCATACTGAGCGGGTAAGAAAAAGACTGACTTGTTCCAATTTACTGCTGCCTCCGAGTGGCGAGAGTACTCTACTAAGCAACTCTTAAGGCCCTCCAAAGAGCTCTGGGTGTTAGCTGAAATCGCAAGGAGGTCATCTGCTAGCGCCTTCACTTTGCATTCCGTGTTCTGCACCTTCAGGCCCTGGATGTCCGGGTGTTCTCTTACATTGTTGAGCATCACCTCTAATTGTAGTACAAAAAGGAGGGGGCCAAGAGGGCAACCCTGACGGAGTGATCTAGAAAGAGAGAAGGGCTCCGAGATCTGACCATTGATCATAACCGAAGATTTAGCAGGCCTGTACATAGCAACTACCCAGCTTCTAAACTTGGGACCAAAGCCTAGGTGTTTGAGCATTGTGAGGACATACGCCCAATTCACTCGATCGTAGGCTTTTTCCAGATCTAGAAGAAGTATAGCTACTTCATGGTTCTCTCTTTGCACTAACTCTAAGGCTTCCATCGCTGTGACAATATTATCAAAGATCGATCTGCCCCTGACGAATGCTGCTTGGTCCCTACCTACTAGTTCYGGTAGCACCTGCGCTAGTCTTCTAGCTAGTACCTTAGCTAGTATCTTGTAGGAGACGTTGAGGAGGGAGATCGGTCTCCAATTCCTGATGTCCTCCTTGTTCCCTTTCTTGTAGATTACCGAAATGATTCCATAGGCCATATTTGTAGAGAGAGACCCTCCGGACAAAACTTCGTTATAGATTTTCAATAGATGGGGAGCAAGTACCTTCCAGTGTGCTGTATAGAATTCCACTGGTAGACCTTCGCTCCCCGGTGCCTTTCCTTTTGCCATTGAGTCTGCTGCTGCGCGTAGTTCCACCTCGGTGATGGGGTTCTCCAGGCTGTTGCTGTCCAGATTGCTGAGTTTTATAGTTGAGTGATCCCTGTGGGTTGAGTTGGCAGCTAGATCTAGATTAGTGTTTTCACCTATCCGTCTTGATGTGAGAATGTCTCTGAAATACAGAACTGCATACCTGCACATCTCTGTGCTGGTCTCAGCTATGCTTGCAGCCGGCATGAATGGATGTTGTAACGCTTTCATGCCCTGCGATGCGCTCTTCGGAGATAATTTCTGGAAGGATTCGCGCGTCATTCTGTCGTACACTGTTATCCCCTTCACCTTCAGTCTGTCTGCCCATTCTTCTGATCTTCTTAGTTGTAGTTCATCCCACTGTAGCAACACTTTTGCTCTGTCCTTTGCCCAAACTTGTGCTGATATGGGGTGCAGCTCCATTCTTCCCTCAATCTCCTCTAGTCTTGCTCTGATGTCCAGCTCTTCCTTGTTCCTTCTTGCAGCCATGATTCGTGAGAAAACACTGAGGACTTCTGCAGTTATAGAAGACCCGGCATCCCACCAGTCCCCTGGTGCGGGGAACAGATGGCGGGAATCCGGCCACTTCTCCCGAAAGGAGTTAATCCACCTTGATATGCCTGGGTCTTTCAACAACAGGGTGTTCAGCCTGTAGTAACCTTTGCCCCTGTCTATGCAGCTCCCCAGTTTGAAGGATGCTAGGACTGGTTTATGATCGGATATCGGGTTCGGAACTACTCTGACCTCCTGAACCGAATCTGACCACCACAGACTAGTTAAGAAATAATCTAACCGTCTATGGACACCCGCCTGCGGTCCCACTGTCGCTGAGGAGTACCACGTGTAACCCGGGTCATGCGGGTACATTAGGCGGAAAGTGTCATTGAGTTCTAGCTCGATCATGTGTTGCAATAGCAACGTTGTATTTGCAGTGCCTGAAGCTGTATTTCCTAGATCATCCAATGTGCAGTTCCAATCGCCTGCCACTAATAGATTGTCCACATCCGAGGTGCAGTTCATCAGTTCTTTGAAAAAATTAATTTTGTCCGCTCTATCCGACGGGTCGTACACTGTCATGATTGCCCAGGAAGCCTGTTGGTCCTCGAATTTCACCCATGCCCACTTCCCCCATAGATCTGCTTCGTAATCTACTATGCTGGCCTGCAACTGTCTGTGAATCAATATGCCCACGCCTCCTCTGGTGCCTATAGCCGGTGCCCAAATCTGTGGGCCGTCCCACCAACAGCCTAGCTCTAAGATCTTTTCCTCTCCCAACTTGGTTTCCTGTAGCAGCATTACCTGCACTTTATGGCGGTGCATCCAGGATTTAAGTCTGGTCTTTTTCGCTCTCTTCGTAGTGTCCCCTAGGCCCCGCATGTTCCTAGTCACGACCCTAAGCCTGTCCATCTACAACGTTGGCGCTCGTTGTGTCATGGATCCGGATTGCTGGGTTTCCTCCACCCGAAGTGTTCTGCAATGTAGTTATTCCTCTGCCGTTTGACGAGGAGGAGGCTTGCGAACCAGACACCACCCACTTCTGGGTCAAAATACTCCTGAGAAACATCGAATCCAACTTCTTGTTAGCCGGGAGCTTTGCATTGAGGTCCCCCAGGAAACTCGCACAGATGTTTTGATCCACTCGCAGATTCTCCAATTCATCGTTCCCACTTTGAAGAAGGACTGTCACCGGTAGGGTTCTCAAACCATTCCCGGCGAGGCTCTCCAGTCTCTCTTTTTGAATGTGCGCATCCAGCAGCGGCACAAGGAACTTGATCTTACGCTCCTGATGATCAACATAGAACTTCTGCATAGCTATGTCCGGCACTAGTCTAATTGGAAAGGAGTTTTCGAAGCTCTGTCTGGCTAGGGACAGTGTAGTACTTGGCAGGATCGGTTCCTCCGCTGAAACAGAGTGGAATGAGACCACACCTTGCGGGGAGAGCCAGACCAGCACATGCACTGTATTGTTGATCAGTGAGAACACCAATGGTAAAACACGTTTTTCCAGGCCTTGAAGCTGACCCCTACCGATGGTTACCGATCTTTTATCCCTGGACATCTTGATACCTGCTCTTGGCGTGGCTATGGTCATCCTGACCGATCTATCAGAAGTCGCGAGAGAGTTCTGCGAATTTTCGCTGCGTGCTGCCTCCTCATCCTGTCTTGGTATGCTGCTGCCCTCTCCACCCTGATTCGGCTTCGGGATTCTTTTGGCCATCTTTGAGGGGGATTGTCCCCTCGAATCTCTTGGAGGTATAGCCGCTGCCGATGTAGCATTAAGAGTGGGTTGTGCTTCATTGAATCTTAAGGCAGCTCCCTGTTCTTGTGTGATCAACTGATTGTTGCCCCCTGTATCTGTTGCTCTCTGCAGATGTGTCAAAGCTTCTCTTTCCTGGAGCTGTTGTTGCCATCTATGCAATTCAAAGGCTCGTTCTTGGTCCACCAATAAGTCCTGCTGCCTCCCCCACTGCTGTTGTCGACCTTGAAGTTGATCCTCCCATGCTGTTGGTAACTGAACTGGGTATACCGCTCTCAGGGAGAAGAGCGGGTTCGCATGTTGGGACGGCACACCCTGGTGACCCTGCTTGTCTGATGCATACCAATTCCAGCGGGGTTGATCATTCCCGAAGGAAAACTGTTGCGCTGCCGGGTTTGCTAATTGGCCTTGATAGGTCCCTCTCCGTTCGCTGCCTCTGCCACCGGATCCTTGAGATCTGGAGTTGCCGTTACCTCCCGAGTCTTGTCTTGCAGTCCACTGCGCCCCCTGACGTTGATTCCGTTGTTCTCCTTGGTTGAACTCCAAGTTCCTTGTACACTCATCCTCTAGATGAAAGAAACCCCTGCATCTCCTGCACCAGGGAGTTGATGATGAGACCAGTTTTAACTCTCTGAGGTCCCCATTGTCCGTCTCTACCCAAATCCTATCCACCATTCTTGCTCTGCATTGTGGATCTACATCGTATTTTAGGTTCATCAGCTCTGGTTTCGAAGGATCTCTAATGGGCGGATAATCTTTCGTGATCGGGCCGATAATCCTCCTGATTGATGTTTTTGCGTAGATTATTGAGTCTAACGGGACTTGCAGAGCCATGACCCAGAAATTTGACTCTTCATGTCTCCTGCGAAATTCTCTCCACTCTAATCTAGTCATCCAAGGTCTGAAGCTCATGCAATACTCCAGCCCAAAGGCCTCCACTTTCCCTTCCGCTTGTTCTATCATCCAATTGGATACAACTGTGTTCCTGGCTACATATGATAGAACATTCGGCCCTTCGAATCGGACTGTGCCTCTAGGTGCAAGTGGATCGAAGGTATTCTCCCTAGTCCATCCATTCTCTAATGCCCTGATGAGATCTGCTTTCACCTTCCTTGGCAAGTCTTTGTCTGCATCCTTTAAAATCACCACTACCGTCCTTTCCTTTAACCATCTAACCTTGATTTGATCAAAGTCTGAATTCACCTTGATCACAACTTCCCTGCCCGTGATTTCCACACTCTCATATGGAATGTTGTCAGGGATGTTGCCCTCCTCATAGCACTGCGCAAGTAGTTCTCTGACTCTGGGTTCTGAGATTTCCAGCGTCTCTGGGGCTGGAGGTGGCGATCTTGCTCCGATCGAAGTTTGATCGTCCATAACCACTTCCTGCCTGAACTCTTCCATCTCTCGCCAGTGGTTGCTTAACCTGGCTCCGGAGTTGATTCGGGTCTTGATCGGCTGTAAAAAGTGTCACTGTATGCAGTAGCCTAACCGGATTACAAGTGGCGAAAGTGAGTCAGTGCATTTCCCCGTTGAACCTTCCAAGTGCAAGGATCTTTTTATCAGCTACCTCAACCACTCGGAATCGAACGGCTAGAGCCGTTGCGATGCCGTACTCCCAGCCAGGGGAGATCAGTATGGTCACTGGCGAGAGCGAGTTGTCATGAGGCTTCCTCTTCCCATTCACAGTTCAAGTTGAGGCTTGCCTAATAGGTGAGAGATCCGTCTGTGGTTCCATATCTTGTATCGGATCGATACTCCGCTTCAGCTACCAGCTAAAGCATCCGAAAGATGGGAGACTCCGATCTACCACCGAGCCTCGTCTGCTTCCTCGTAGGGCTAATCTAACTTGTACACTTACACGTGTGAAGCTACCTATCCTCTAACCTGGCTACGAGACGTTGCTGTCGAGGATACACTTATCGCAATGCTTACACTGAGGTTGCTGAGCTTTTGTTTTAGATCGTCCATATTCTCTTTCCGATAGCTAATCGGCGAGAGGTGTTATGAACCAGGAGTACAGAAATCCCTTTGCTGTAGTCTGATAGTGCATCTTTGTCTGATTAAGAGTAAAGCTCTCTAAGGCTGGCTTGAAGAGAGCTTTCTACCTGTGGCCGTGCAATACATCAGTTTTTAACTCCTGGCCACGTGGCACTTTCTACCTTCGTTCGCCTCATAGGCGGGCGCATTCTGCGCACGCCCCGTTCACCTTTCCTCAGAGACTTTGCCTCCGATGTAAGATCACCCCTCCTACGATACGCGTTGACACATGTCCTTTCTTGTCATACAAACCCTAACCTTCTACTACTGCTTGCTGGCTATGGCTGCTCGTGCCTCCGTGTTCCACGCCCTGGCGTGTTTCCGTGGGCAGTGTCACGGTGAAGACGAAGGACAGTCCCGCTCACTCCCACGTCGAGAGCGCGAAAGACCGAGCAGGCCCCGGTAACAGCGTTACCGGTAGCGGAGTGGACCGTGAGCGCTAATTCCACGCCGTTGGCCGACCCCCCAATTCCTCACCCGGGTCTGTATTTTCAGGGGTGTACCAAAAGGAAAAAGAAAAAGAAAAAAAGGAGAGAGAGACGCCAGTGTCTACTGTCTAAGATTTCAGTTTCAAAAAACGGTTGATGTGGGGAGGGCCTCGTCCCATTAGCAAAGAGGATTGGATGTAATTCCTGAATCTGGACTCGGTTGTGGCAAGATGCAGAAAATTGCCATTGAAAAAAAAAAAAAAAAATTGCCATTGATCTGCTTTTCTGACGCGCTATTCAGGGATTAAATCCAATCCTCTTTGTTAATGGGACCAGGCGGCCCCGAGTGTGTCGCATGTCATCCAATTTTAACACAGATGCCCCTAAGGACGCCGCGTTTATTTTGCGCGGGGGCCTATGCGACTCTTCTCTGCATCTTTCCAATTTCCGCAGATGCCCCTGAGGACCCCTTTTTTTCTGGCCTTCTATGTTTAATCTTTTTTTTTTTTTTTTTTTTTTTTTTTTTTTTTTTTAAAACCATATCATCATTAAGCTGACGGGTCCCAGGCAATTCAGAAATAGTTGCTTTTTACAACTTTACTCGTGAAGTTCCATCATCTGAATTCGTTCCATTTCTCTCCTTGTATACTGGGGATAAAAAAAAAAAAAAAAAAAAAAGGGTAAAGGAGGAAGAAAAAAAAAAAAAAAAAAAAAAAAAAGAACGGGAAAATGACCCTTTTTTTTTTTTTTTTTGGGCACGTGTACGTTTCGGCCACGTGGACGTCCTTCGGGAGGTGATGTGGTGTGGCGTTTAGTAACAGCTGTTACTACCATCTTCACCCGAATAGAACGCCCGGTCATTATCGCCGCATCTGGACCTAAATTTGTGCCAAATGCAGCTATAATGACCGGGCGTTCTATTCGGGGGAAGACGGTAGGGTCAGTCCAAGCTGGCGGAACTGCGTGCTAACTTGGCATGAACCTGATCCATGGGGCAGACCAGGGGATCGCGAAAAATCAGCACACAACAGAGAACATGCGGGGGCTGCATGTTCTCTCGTGAACACGGTTCTGGCTACTACGGGGTTCCCCGTATGACTGTAATTAGGAGAAGTGGTAGGTAGGTAGGTAGTGTGAGGTGAAATTGAGAGAAGAAAGTAGCTTATAAAAAGAAACAGAAAAAATGTTAAGGACACAAGAGCTCGAAGAGGGAACTCGTACTGACAGCCAGACCGAAGTCGGCGTGCTCTCTCTCTCTCTCTCTCTCTCTCTCTCTCTCTCTCTCTCTCTCTCTCTCTCTCTCCTCTGTGGATGGACTCGTGTTGTTTTTGACTGGTCTCCTCGTCACGAATGACTGGTTGCTGTAGGCTTTTTTTTTTTTTTTTTCTGTAGGCTTTTGTCGTCGTCTTGATATTGCTATCTATGCCCTTGAGGCTTGTTTTTTTTTTTTTTTTTTTTTTTTTCAAGTCCATGGTGTTGTAGAGGCCAGTCACTGTATGAATGTGTGAAGTTCTCTTCAACCGAAGTTGGAATGAATCTCGTCTGTTATTTAGGGCAGGTTCGCCTGGACACAGGCATGGACGTTGTAGACCCGCTGACGGTGCTGGCCCAATTGGTGCTCTGTTTTCTGATCGTAAATCACGAACGTGGCGTGTTTTGCGGCGAGGTTCATGTTGGCTACGTAGCCACGAGCAGAGCACCACTAGACCCGGCCCTATGTCGTCCGGGGCCGCGATTTTCAGTCCAGGTTCATGCGAATCTACCCTTAGAAGGAATGCTGCCTGGGCCGTGGAACGAGGCTAGACAAACATCGGCTATTTTTACTTCTGCTGATGGGAGGATGCACACGGTCGTCTTGCCGTCTAGGTGCGTGCATCACTCCTACAAAAAGTGTAGTGGAGATCGTCTGGCCAGCCTCAGTGGCAGCCTGTGATTGTTCCGCAGCCGCCGTCATATTGTGCGCGCGTTCTATTCGGGTTGGGGCGGGGGGCAACATGCATCCCCTCTGAATCTCTGATGGCTGGAGGGAGACAACAAAGCTATGTTTGCAGGGGTCCCCTGTCTAAGCCTTAGGAGTAGTGGTAGGTAGGTAGTGAAGGTGAATTGAAATAATTTGAAAGATGATGAAAAGATTTGAGAGAAGAATATGGCGTAGTTTAAAAATATATATATATATATTCGGGACCGACCGTCCTCGTGCCACCACGCTCAATGCCTAATCGTAAGGATGATGACACGATTGCCACTGTCAGGACACTGCCAGGGAAAAAAAAAAAA